TTTCTTTTAATGTATTGATGCCAAAGATCTGGCAGCAAGATTCATTTTAATGGTTTATTAAATCTGACTATTTATATTAATATTGTGGATCTTTTGCATGTTTTTGTGAGTGGTTTAAGCAATGTAATGCTTCGTTTAAACTGTGGTTATTCATTTACATAGATGTATAGACTTGTTTGAGGTCTGGATAATAAACACACGGTACTGAACACTAGGCTAATAATGTGATTCAGGTCTGTCTTGAATGATTCTGGTAGAATTCAGGTAATTGATATTAATCTCATGCTGTGTTCAATGTGACCCTGACAGAGACACAGATAGTCCTGAAATGTTGATCTACATTAACTTTGCACAATAAAGGCAAAATGTGGATGAGTAAACTCCAGCACTTGTTTGAATCCTTCATGTTTGTGCTCAGCTCATACATGCACTTTCAAACTTAATCCATTATTGTAATTTCAGGTGTCTGCTGTCACTTGAGTCAGATATCAGAAAGTTTTCCATTCCCCCGAACCAACAATGAAGTTTTACACGTCTGAAATATGTTTTACATTTTAAATGTCTGCTTAGATTGTAGAACAATCATAATCTTATTATTTGTTTAAGAACTGGACATGTTAGAAGATTGCCTCTGCTGCAATGACTACTGGGATATTCACACATATGTTTATCGCTTTGGTTGTTTCCGCATTCAAGCAGCCCTTTCATAACTTCCAATCAAAGTTAATTTGCTCAAATCCAGACAAATATGTGTCACTTACTGAGATCTTTGCTGTCCTGGGTCTGCTCCAGTTCTGATGTGGATGCTGCAGATATTGGGGGCACCACACTGAACCCACCGAGGTCTTCTGCTTCAACCTTCATCATCTTCGACATCCTCAATCAACTTGGGATTCTCCTTTTCACAGTCTTTGTTAGCAACCTTCACATGTTCTAGTGGGTTAAGGTTTCAGCCATATTATCTGTATCTTCTGTTGGAATCAAACTGGAATCACAGACAAACCAGCATCTGAATAAATAAACAGAAAATGTAAACCGTAGCAGAGCTGAAGCGATGCTGCCGAGCGGAGAGTCTGATACCTTGGTCAGAGGTTCCGGTTCCCCTCTGCCCCCACTCTCTCGGTTCTCAGCTGAGTAACAAAGTTTAGAGCAGGTGTCCACAGACGATGTTGTCCTCCCCGCAAAGTCTCACAAACCTGTGGACCCGTGTTGTAGCACAAACCCACGCTAACACTTCAGACACGCTTAGATTTCTGCTGTTAGCTGCTTTAGCTCCATGGTGGCTAACGGTCCATTCACTTTGCTAATAACGACTAGTTCCATTCTATACTCCAAAATTCAGCTACAATTAATGACAGCTATAAGGGATATTCTCATGGAGGCTTTTGAGTTGACAGTCTAAGACATCAATCACAAAACTTTAAGCTGCTATTGTTTCTGGATTTAGCACTGCTACATCTCGCTGACCAATCAATTATGAGCCAAGCTCTGATTTGATAAACCGCCTCCGTTGGCCACTAATAGCTTTTCGGATAAGAAATTATATGAATGGACAGAGTAGAGACCTTAGTAGTCACTAACCGACCTGTCCCGGAAGCACGATCCTTAACATCAGCTCATTTGCGCATGCACAAACAAAATTACTTCCGGATCGCTGTTGAACGTTTTCTTTTTATTTAATATATACAAATCTTATAGACTTATGTACGACGGAACACAGTTTGAACAGAAATTTAACAATATATCAATGAACAGCAACATAGAACATAAACACTTCATGTCACACGAATAAAATTAAAACAGAATATAGTACAATAAAATCATAAATATCAGCTGGGGCCACATAAAAAAAAAAAAAAAAAAAAAAAATCTCAATAAAGACATTACTTTCTGTGAGTTGCAGTTTTAAAGATCTCAACAAAGCCAGCTCATTAAGAAACCCAGGAGACCTTGGTTTAGTTTTGGAAAATTTACGCTTTTGAACAAAAAACTGGTCTAAAATAAACAGATTGTTCACAAAGAACTCTTTTGTCCTCCATTATTACACCAAATTCAATTGCTCTATACAGGGTGGGCCATTTATATGGATACACCTTAATAAAATGGGAATGGTTGGTCATATTAACTTCCTGTTTGTGGCACATTGTGCTTGGTTTTACCATAACTTTATTCTTTCATGAGTTATTTACAAGTTTCTCTTTGTTTACAGCCATTGACATGTCGCCGAGGTTAACAAAGATAGTGGGGCCATTCTTCATCAATGGAAACCTCAAGGCCACTGGATATGCGAAATTGCTACATGATGATGTGTTTCCCTCTTTATGCACTGAAGCTGGCACATTCCCTGAGTTTTTCCAGCAAGATGGTGCACCACCACATTATGAGTGTCAGGTCTGAGTATTCCTAGATGAACAGTTTCCTGGAAAGTGGATTGGTCGTCGTGGGCCAGTTGAATGGCCCCCAAGGTCTCCCAATCTGACCCCCTAAGACTTTTACCTTTGGGGTCATCTGAAGGCAATTGTCTATGCGGTGAAGATACGAGATGTGCAGCACCTGAGACTACGGATACTGGAAGCCTGTGCTAGCATTTCTCCTGCGGTGATGCTATCAGTGTGTGAAGAGTGGGAGAAGCTTACATTGCATTGACAATCCAACACAATGGGCAGCACATTGAACACATTTTATAAGTGGTCAGAAACTTGTAAATAACTCATGAAAGAATAAAGTTATGTTAAAACCAAGCACACCATTGTTTTTCTTGTGAAATTCCCAATAGGTTTGATGTGTCACATGACCCTCTTCCTATTGAAAAAACAAAAGTTGGATTCAAAATGGCCAACTTCAAAATGGCCACTACCCATCTTGAAAAGTTTCCCCCTCACATATACTAATGTGCCACAAGCAGGAAGTTAATATGACCAACCATTCCCATTTTATTAAGGTGTATCCATATAAATGGCCCACTGTGTAGTATAATGGGGACAGATCATGGAAAATCCACTTTTTTAGCCTTTAAATACATTTTGTTGTGTACCTGGAGTCTGTAGAGCAGAAAAGTTGAATTTAGTCTCTCCAGTTGTTGAGGAGATATCTTTATATTGTTTGGAACATATTTTTCAGTCCGTTCATTTTTGTCTTTCATTCTTTACGTTTTTCCAATTGTTACGTCACATGGTCATGGACTTCTGGCTGAACAATTTTACATATCCGCCATATTTATTTCTCTCTCTGATTTTGTAGTCCAAGCTCAAGTATGCCTACACTGCAAGAGGATAGGTTCAGTTTGGTTGTTGGGTGTATTAACCCACACAATTCATTACACCGTCCCCCAGCATCAGACCCTCTTCGAAGTTCCTGATTAAATTTTATTTTTTATGGAAATGTTCCCATATCAGTGGGGAGATTCCTATTTCCCCCCCTTTATTCCCCCATTCAAGAAGGTTTTGCTGAAATACTTCATCTGATTAAGGGGTCAGTTCTTTCTGTCTATGGAAAAGACGGACGCAGCACAGCAGTAAGCTGCAAATAATGCTAAAATAAACTTTATTTTAAACATGAATTTATTGTGTTGATATGACGTCCTTCCCCATTGTTTTGATAGCAGTAGCATCGTGCCTTCAGCTTATCTTAGCCATGTGCTGCTTTTAACTCTTTGAAGACATAACTGTACTGCGTGTTTTGAATAGTATTACAGAAACAGTTTTGCATTGTTTTAGCCGTTTTGTCTAACCCTAACCCTTTCTGCAGCGCTACAGAATTGTTATCAAACTACAAAAATGGGCAAACTGGTTAAAATGGAGCGAACTTTGACCTGGTGGGGGGTGGGGCGTGAAATGCCTCAGTAGCATTTAAAGAGACAGCACCAAAACGAGTTGCTCTCAGATGCACCTTAGAACAGGGGTAAAAGAGGAGCCTGTGGAGCTACAATAACGGGTTCTGACCTAAACAATGCAGTTCCCCTTTATATATACCACAACTAAATGACCTAAGGGTGAAAAGGAAGGATTTAAAAGCATGATATGATAATTGCAAGAATAGGTGTAATTACCATTTAAGGTAATTACATCAATCTTGTTTATATTCATAGAAATAAATTACTTCATTAAATATTGTCTTTTAAGGGAGGATGGAAAACATTATTTGGACAATACAGATTTGATGTTACTGTTATTTCTTATCCATAAAGAGGCACTTTAAACAAAGAGAACTGTCAAGGTATTGTCACAGTATATAATGACACTTTAACAAAGTAAATAAGCTCTTGTGGGAATGCGATAATTACATCATAGTATTTTTGACTGTTACAAATGAGATTTTATTTACTACTAAAATCTGCAAAATCCAGTAAGGTACTTCTGCTATCCATTAAATGTAATACAATACCATATCCCCCGTTCCAACTAGTCTTCATAAAAGAAAGACTTCCTCATTGGAGGTTTAGTTCCACTTTAAACAGATATTTACAAAATCTTATTTCTTCGGTTTTAATTTCAATGGATTACCAAATATATTTTTTCATCACAACACCCCGCTGTTTTAAATTCTTTAACATTACTCCATTTAGTTCATTGGAAAATTTCTTAACCCACTTTAAACAACAACAATAAATATAAAGAATCTTATAAGTACAAACACAGCTTTTAAAAATGTTTATTACATAGGTTAACATATTTCCCACGAGTACTCTGTATACACTGTTTAGTAGAACACAGTTTATAGGTAACAAAAAATAACAGAGGTGAGTGTAAAATGTTGAAGTGAATATTTGCTACCAGAAAGTATCAAAAGTTACATCAGTATCTGGTAAACACACTTTACTTTGCAGCAATGTCTGGTTGGGATCACTTTAGTTCAACTATTTGGAATCATGTTCCTTACAGTATTTTAATGACAGTTCCATGTATCAGAACTGATTTTATGCGACACTAAAGGCCTTTATTTTTCTATTTTTCCGACAGTAGGCAGACAGGAAATAGGGGGAGAGAGAGGCGGAAGACATTCGGCAAAGGTCTCCGGGTCTCAAACCCGGGACAGCCGCTTCGAGGATTGTAGCCTCTATATATGGGCGTGCTTAACCCCTACACCACCAGCGCCGTGCCCAAAGCCCAATATTCTCTAAAGATGGCAAACAATTTTAATGAAGAGCTCCAAAGCACAGTTGCTCATTTCTGTAAGTGTTTTTGAAGGAAGGCGATATTTCTTACTTCACTCCTATAATTAATATATAATAAAGATATCGAAATAATGATAAAAAATGTGAGCAAAGAGAGACAAAATTATGTAGCTCCAAAAAAAAAAAAAAAAACAGAAAACAAATTTGCAAAAAATATTATAAATCAAAACCTCAGAAGCTGACCCATTTGGCAGTGGGTTACCAGACATGAAGAAGCATTCAACAACATTAGGAGAGCTGGAGAGAGAAGAGACAATTTATTTGAATAATCACAGAATAATACAAGAAATCAGGCACATTTTAGAGTTAAACCAAGGAATTTAAATAATTTTTTAACAATCTAATCTACCTAATTTACACACACACACACACACACACACACACACACACACACACACGATTTATCCCTAGGGGGGAAAAAACCCAGTTCAAAAGGCAACAACAAACTTAAAATAAAAGCATGAATCTTAAAATAATACACCTTTTGTAAGGGTGTATTAAACTGACAAAATTCATGCAACAATTCTTAGAAATCAGCATTTACTTAAATAAAAAGAACTATGTTGAATTTATCCTTGAATTTAACATTCTTTATTGATCAGATCTTGAGGTTTCTAATTGTTAGACTAAGCATCTTTTAGATCTTATTTTAATTAATTAAATTTTTTAATGTAACCACTGTTAACAATCTTGTCTTTTTTTGTCCTGATTTTACCTTATTTATACATTTTAAATAAAATAAAACCCATCAAAGTTTGGTCAACAGCTAAAACAAAGTGTTTAAAAAGAAATGAGTTTTGACTGGGAAACACTGTTCTTAGGGACGACAAGTAAAATAACCAAAGTTATTTACATTATTTACAGTCCATTAGAAAACAAAACCTTGTAACTGAATCTCAATCATCAGTCCAAATTATTCACCACCGTGCAACTCTCCAACCCATTTGCTGTTGTCAAATGCCTCCTGGAACATGTCTGTAAACTTCCAGGGAATATTTTTGTCAGTGCACACCTGCCAGAAGAATAAGGTTTTCGTTTGAGTGTTGTTAGGATTTAACATCAGCTCAAAAGTTATAGTTACTAATACTGTCTGTTTAAATATTTACAGGGGCACTCAGAGATTACTTCACCAACACAGATCTGACATGTTTGTGTGGCAGGATATCCAGCAGATCCCAAATTACAGGGGCAGATTCGAACCACCTAAAAACATCCTCTTGATTAATGGCATCATCACAGTCCTCCACACAGCAATGATGCACTTAGACAAGAGATACACAAATGTGAGAATGTTTTTCCTAGACAATCCTTTGGCATTTAAGACAACTGTAGGTTACTCAGAAAACCCCTCAACCTGGGCCACAGCAAAACACCGTGGGCATGGATTGAGAAGTTTCAACTAAACTGCCGACACACAGACAAAATGGGTCCACAACCATCCTCCAGCTTAAAGGTTATCTCTGTGCTTGCTCGAAAAAAATAATAACCTGTCTGCTAAGCTGCAAACTATTTAGAACTGCTCCCCTCAGTGCTTTATATGTTGGCACACCGTGCAGTAAAACAGTGACCAAAAATCTCTTAAACACTAATTTTAATTTGCAGGAAAAAAAGTTATTTGATTACCTGTGCCTGCACAAGATGGGATTTTCAGGGCATATTTTCCAGATACATTCAGAAAAACAACAATCATAATAACAGTCCAACATGTTGGTAGTGTGATGGCATGGGGCTGCTTGGCGCTTCAGGACCCAGAAGGCTTGCCATAATTGATGGAACCATGAAGCCTGCACTCTACCAAAAACCCCAAAGGAGAATGTCCCACTTTCAGTTCATGACTTTGAGTTCAAACACATTTGAGTTATTGAGCTGAACACTGATTCAGTTCCCACCAGCAAATCCACCTCTGACTAAAGCTCAGAAAAAAAGGTTTTGATTGGCCTAATCAGAGATGAGATTCAAACAAACATATAAAAACAGCCAATTTACCATTGTTTTATTTTAAAACTCATGTAAAATGTGCCTGTTTGGGGTAAAATAATGTAATTTAGCTCTGACCAGTGGCCTTAGAAAGCAGAGATGGATTACATTAACCCTCAACTAATTGGAAAAACACTGACAGAAAATATTCAGTCCTGGCAGCCCCTGTGAACCTCCATGTGTTTCTTCAGATTTCCAAGTCGGGAAAATGCTTTACTGCAAACGGTGCACACAAATGGTTTCTCCCCTGAATGGACTCTCATGTGATTTTCAAGCTGACACTTTTGATAAAATCTGGTTTTACAGACGTCACACCCAAATGGCCTCTCCTCTGAGTGGACTCTCACATGTCGCTCTAACTGCATTTCATTTACAAAACATTTACTACAGTCACCACAGCTATATGGTGCGGTGTGAACCTCCATGTGGTTTTTTAGATGATGTTTTAGTGCAAATCCTTTACTACAAACATTGCAAATAAACCGTTTTTCCCCTGTGTGAACATGCATGTGTCTCTTTAGGGTCTCTTGGCGTGAAAATCTTTTCCTGCAAACACTACAAACAAAGGGTTTCTCTGCAGTGTGGATCCTCATGTGCTTTTTTATGTTTTCCTTTCGTTTAAATCTGGTACCGCATACATCACAGGAAAATGGTTTTTCTACTGAATGGACTTTCAGGTGTGTTTTAAGTTTTGCTTTTTCGTGAAACCTTCGACCACAGTTATCACACGCAAATGGTTTCTCTCCAGTGTGGAGTCTTATATGTGTCCGCAGAGAACTTTTTTCTTTAAACCCTTTTCCACAAAAATCACAGATATGTTCAATATTTCCATTGTGTGTCATCAAGTGTAATTTAACTGAAGTCAAATGTTTTAATCTCTTGCCACAGATTTTGCAACCAAATGGCTTCTCTCCTGCGTGGACTCCAATCTGAGCCATTAGTGTTGAATTCAGTTTACCTTTTTTGGGGACCAACATCTTACTTTGTTGAGAAGAACCTGATGGATCTGAGTTGGTGTCAGGTTCTGCTCCCCCACAGTCATCTCCATTATGTTCTGTTTCCATTTGTTTAGCTGAGCTGCTGGTTGGAGCTTCTGTCTCTCTGATGTCTTCATTTTGGATTTGATGAAGTTCTGATAACTGAGGTTTCTCTTTATTTTCACTCTGCTGCTCTTCATCACGGATCACCACTTTGTTCTCTTCCTCCTTTATGACCGGCGGATCTGGTTCCTGTTGGTCCAAACTGGGGCTCCAGTCAAGGGGAACCTCTTCTTTAATCACAACAATCTGTTGGACTGGTAACAAAGAAACACAAAATATCAATTAAATATAAATATATATATATATTTTCTCTCTCTCTCTCTCTCTCTCTCTCTCTCTCTCTCTCTCTCTCTCTCTCTCTCTCTCTCTCTCTCTCTCTCTCTCTCGACTGAGAAAGATCTATATATATTGATATAATAAATTAAAAATAAATAAGATAAATTCATGTTTCATCAAAACCACATATGATTTACAAGATATCTTATTTTTAAGATATTTTGTAAAAGTCCTAATAATAAAAAACAAAAAATTGAGAATGATTAGATTTTTGATATATAGCTGCAATTAAGTGGCTTACCAATTTCTACAGTTAATAAGCAACTATTTGGTACTAAGATCAGCTCTGTTTCATAATCAATACCAGAGTTTGTAAATTTATTTTTCAGCAGGTCCAGTTTAAAACACTGATCTGAGAGGGTCAAGAGGCTCGAAAACTGTGAAATGGACCTTTATAAAAATTTATTTTTAAATTAGTAATCTGATGGTGGCCCTAAAACCAGAAGGATCAATAAAATGGTCATAAATGTACGTTTTTTCACTTTGCAAAATCAACCCTAGAGGGGAGGATTTAACTTTATTCAGCTGATTTTTCAGACCCAAGTTAATGAATAATGACTTGGGTCTCTTTTTCCATAGTGACAAACTGGGTAAAAATGCTAATAATGAATTCCATGCTTTTCTTAATCATTATAGACTGTGTAGGACCCCTGCATATAAAACTAAGCAGGAAGTACTGACTGTTTCCTATAACAAAACATGACCTGCTTTTAATGGGCTCCTGTTCAAAATCACTGGCCACACTGGTCTCTAATACATTGTCTTTTAGGTTTTTCTCTGCTCTGTTTTGTTTTGGTACTGGACTGATCCAAAGTTCTTTCTGCTGTTGGATTATGTGAGAGGTTCTTTGATAGACTACTGACCTCTCCAAGCTGAACTCTACTTCTGCTGCAATGACTGCTGTGGTATTTACACACACATATATAGAACTCTGATTATATCTACAGTCTAGCAGCTCGATTATAATTTTCAGTCGAAGATAATTTGCTTCAATCCAGAAACACAAATGCGTGTCACTTACTGAGATTTTTGCTGTCTACTGTCTGGTCCAGTTCTGATGTGGATGCTGCAGGTATGGGGGACACCACACTGAGCCCCCCAGGGTCCTCTGCTTCAACCTTCATCATTTCAGACATTCTCGCTTTACTTCGGATTCTCCTTTTCACAGTCCTGAGTTTCCAACCTTCACATGTTCTCTTAGGTCAATGTTTTAGCCACATAACCTGCATATTGGGTTTATCTGCTGAAACTGAAACCAGAGACAAACATCTGATCAAATCAAGGGTATTATAAAATGTAATCCGTAGCAGCGCTGAAGCGATGCTGCAGAGCGGAGTCTGATACCTTGGTCAGAAGTTCTGTGTCCACTAAATGTTTCCAGTCTTTAGGCTTAGAGGAGGTGTTCACAGTCGACGTGGTCTTCCTCCACAGTCTGACAAACTCAGAGTGTGGACTCTTCCTGCAGGACTAAACCATGAACTTTTAAAAGCTTTAACCTCGGAAGCACTGATCAGGTTAGCTGCTTTAGCTCCACGGCGGCTAACAGTCTAGTCACTTTGCTAATAAAA